CGCGTGCACGGCATCCTGGCCCCCGGCACCTTTGTTCACCACCTGGACCCGGCGGCCACAGCGGCCTGCCCCTTCTGCCCGGGGGTGCCGGACGAGGACATTTTCCACGTGTTCCTAGACTGCCCCCGGCTGCAGCCGCTCTTTGCCACCCTGGGCGCGCTGCTTCGGGCGCTGGGCCGGGACTTCTCCGGGGACATCTACGTCCACTCCTTCCCCTACCGGGCGGGGGAGCAAGCCGTGGTCTGCCTGGCCAACTTCCTGCTGGGCCAGGCCAAGATGGCCACCCTGAAGAGCTGGCGAAACCGGCTCGCCAGGACCAGGATCGTCGACGCCCTGCAGCTCTTCCGCCTGCTGGTGCGGGCCCGCCTCTCACTCGAGTTTGAGCACGCGGTCCTGCGGCGGACGGTGCCCACCTTCGAGGAACGCTGGGCCCTCGAAGGGGTGCTCTGCCAAGTCGAGGCGGGGCGCCTGCTCCTCGCCCTACAACACCTCCGGCTGCTCAAGCTGTGGACACGCGTCCAGTGGGCCGAGGCCTTGGACTTTGCTTCACGTGGGTCGACCCCTGAGGCCCCCCATGGGTGTCCCCGCTGGCAGAAATGTAACTATGTAAATAGTCCTTTGACTCGCTATGGTTTTCTAATCTAGAGTGTACGGGCAGGCCTTGCAGGGCCTGAGCCCAGAACCATGGCCGTGAGGCCAGGTGTTCGGGCCAACCTGTACATACTCTTTACTGGCCCCGATTTGTCACCCTCCCTGGAATAAACGCCTCTTAAAAGTCAAGTCTTTTTCTCTTTCTTTCTCTCTTTCTTTCCATACATCCGGGTTTTCCTGGACATGTCCTCTTTCTGAGTGCTCCAATCTATGTCCAGGCAGGTTTTTCAAATCTGACCAAATATCTGTCCAGGTTTTTATTTTGCTCTGCTGGTGCGACCAGGGGGAGAGGCAATTGTAGGCAGGGAGTAGCATGTGTGTCTGCGTGCACCCCAGGAGCTGCACGCAGGTAAGTCTGGGATGTGGGGCTGGGGCTGCAACAGGGCAGGGGGGCAGAGAGGTTGCCTGCCCCTCCAGCGGAGGAAGGGGGCAGGGGGACCTTTTGAGTGTAGCAAGTAACTGCTTGCCAAGCCAGCAGCACAGGGGCTGAGTGGCCAGGAGACGCTGCCCAGGGGAGGGGGGCCGTGGCCACGCCAGGCCTCCTGGCATGGTGCAGCAGCCCCAGCCCAGGGTGGAGGGGTGCCACAAGCCTCCCCTCTTCCCTCCACCCCACGCCAGAACCGGACTTGCTCTGAGCCACTGCGTTCCAGTCCGCTTGGGACAGGGGCAGCTGAAGCCCCTCCAGCAGGGCTGGGGGAAGCAGGGGACTGTGGGTCAGGAGTGAGGGGCAGGGGAGCCATTTTAAAACCATTTTTAAAAAGAGGCTAGAGATCTAGGTGAAATTTTAGGGAAGCCAGATAAATAAATGGTTGAAAATGACACCCAAAGAGATCAATTATTATAGCTAAAAGGCCAGAGAGAGCAAAGCTCTTAGAAAACTCAGGGTCAAAGAAAATAGCTTTGGCAGAAACAAAAGTATTGGAGAGTGGGTGGTCAGACGGCTACTCCTTAATGTTTGGGATCCTTAGGCTGAAAAATGGATGGGCTATTGTCCACTTTTGCTGTTACTCTTGTATTGTAGAATGGGTACACACTCTTGTAACATGTATGAAGGTTTTAGAACTTTTTTATTCTGGAAATGATTTCATTTTGTTGAAGGCTAAACTGCACTGACATTAAGGAGGCAATTTACGGCAGCCAGTTAACACCATCTTAACAGCTTGTTTGTTTGTTTCCTGATTTTGATTTTGATCAGTAAACTAAATCCGCTCCTGTTTCTTAACAATGTTGGGTGTTATGTCTGTTTATCAGGCTAAGATTTTAGAGCTGCTCTCATTTCCTTTCAGAATTTAGAATAAAAAGAAACTCTGAAAAAGGAAAGCTCTGGAATGCTAACATGGGTTTAGACATTAAACATGATAGGCTGACAGGAATTAAAACAAACCTAAGATCCTGCTCCCAGATCAGGTATGACATATTAAGATGCCAGAAGTAATCACACCTCAATTGCTGTAATAGACACTCAAGAAGCATGATCTGAAGTTTATTTATAAATTTATAAAGAATTAAAAGTTAACATTATTTAAATTAAGAATCCAAACCTATTTCTAATAACAAAAATTATGTTGGTTCTCACCCTTCCAGGTACCACAATATGAAGGATGAAAAGTTAGCATAATAGCATTTCCATTTTCTTAGTTGTACTTCAATAAGGCACAACTAATTATGCCTAGAGTTTTAGCTACAGAGTCTTTGTCTGTGTTGTAATTACATTAGCACGAAAACCCTGAAGAAAGGTTTTAGCTAAATTTAAAATTTGACTTGTTTTCAAAGTGTGACTAAATCCTAAAGTTTTGAACCACAGTAGGGTGTGTTTTCAATTGTCTTATATTTAAAGAGTACAGAAGTGAAAAGTTTTTTATTTTCCTGGATCATACTTGATTTAAGCTAAATCAAGTAAAATCCATTTTTCTTGTCCTCATTAGATTTTAAATCTGAAACAGATGGTCATTTCTTTAAATACCAATGACATTACTATTTAACTGAAGTTATCAATACCTTCTTTGTTCTGTGTGTGATCTTGTTTTTCCCCCTCACTTCCTAGAGTTTTACTGTTACAGTTATAAGGGGAATGTTCCTTTGTTTTCCCTATAAATGCTAAACAATGCAACATATTAGACAAATGTTCCTCAACCAGTTATTTTCTAGTGACCAAAAGATGCTAATTTTGACTTTGAATAAAAATATTTGTCTTTGCAAAACCACAAAGTCAGTGCCAAGGTGCCACATGCTTTTTTTTTTTTTCTTAAATGATTAGGTTGTGACATTAATGAAGCTAACAGTTCTCTCATTTCTAATGACTTGTATCAGAAGGTGCATCTACACGTTCGTTACTGTGCATTTAGTTTAAGCACTTGCTTAATGACGTACTAACTAAATGGACAGTAACTACAGTTATTGCGCAGTAATGCCAGTGCATGTTTTTTTTTGTGCTACTTACTGCACAGTAGCCTAATAACACTGCACAATAGCTTATTAGCATTGTTTTTTTGACTGGCACCCTACTGAGCAGCCTTATCAGGCTACCACACAATAAGCATCTTGTGTAGATGTGCCCACAGAGATTAAAAGAAAGGATGGCTGGTGCTATTCCAGGAGCTGCAAAAACCATACATTTTTAGAAGTAATCCATGCATGGCAATCTGGACATGACAGATATTGTCATGTTGATACTTAACCCATAAAATGCAGAATGACATTGCTAAATATAGAGCTATCTGGGAAGAGTTATGGATCAAACACTTAACTCACCACAGTCAATTTGAGATTGTGAAGGGGGCATGTTCTGCTCCCTGCTTGACTGGATCAGCAGAGTCCAGCAAGTGACAAAAATTCCTCCCAGTTGTCAGTCATTTTAATCTCTTGTATGAATCTGGCAGATTTCTACATAACCCATACTTTTTCTGTGTTTCTTCTCCTTCTAAACAGCCTCATGCTCAGTATTTGTCCATATGAATCAAGTACAATGTGTACATTGCTTTTTCAGAGCTGAAAACATTAATAACAATTAATTGTGCCTGGTCAGCTTTCATGGCGGCATTTATCATTTTCTTCCTCAATTTTACAAGACTTCTATTAAGGTTTTTGCTAGTCTTGGGAGATCATAGTTATGATAAA